ATTACTGTCTCAGAGGATGGCTCATTAAGCAGACTACCCACGTCTTGGATGAATGCTCTGTGCTTCCTGGGCATGTTTGTGCCCAGCAGTTGCCAGGTACTATGTAACCACTTGTCCTGCCTTGCCCTCGGTCATGCAGGGTCCATGGGACTTTCACCCTAGTTTGTAAAGGAGAGAACTGCTCAGCAGTGAGAGAGGTATGCCAGGCCCCAAGGACCTGTCCTAAGACCAGGCTTAGGATTCTTGCCCCTAAGAACTGCCCACAAGTCTCCCTCTTAGCCTCCCTGCTGCTCAGTCGCAATTACATATCTGATGGTGCTTTCCAGAGCTGGGAGTGAGAGCAGATCGCAGCCTGTGGATGCAGGGGACCCTTGGGAAAGCCTGTGTCTGGATGCAGAGGGATGCAGCATCAGCAGCCTGGCCAGAGGCTTCTACACAGAGAAGGTTCCTTGAGATGGCAGCTGCAAGCACCCAGATGCAGTAGTGGGTGGAGGTGTTTAAAAAACAAAATCTCATGTGGCCCTGGGTGTCACTGCAGCCCTGGATGACCTGGAATGCATGTGTAGACCAGACCCGAACTCATTCTTGACCCTCTTCCTGTGTGTGGGAACTACAGGTGTGCTCAGTCTTCCCCCTCGTTCCCCCGCTTTCCCAGTTTGTCTCTCCCTCTCCACCTTCTCCCTCTCGGCCTGAGTAGTTCAGAAGCCCTACTGGGGCCTTGCAGCCCTTCCCATCACAGCTCTCTATAAGGTAAGTTATGGTTCTGTCTAGACCCAGTTCAGTGGAGCCAGGAGTCACAGAGGCTAAGGTAGACTAACTCCCCTCCACCCCAGAGGCTGTAAAAGTCGTCTGTCCTTTGTTCAGTGGATTGCATGAAGGTTGTCTCCCGCCACCCCAATCCTGTGCTGTACCCCTTCTACAAAGGGAAACCATCCCTCCTGTTCCTGTAATGCTCCCACGTTACCCCCAACCTGTCTGGAGGCTCCCTCTTTATTTTGTTTTTTGAGAATGGTAGCCCTGGCTGTACTAAAACTTAACTCTGTAGACCAGGCTGGCCTCAAACTCAGAGGCCCACCTGCCTCGCCTCTGTCTCTGCCTTCCAAGTACTGGGATTAAAGGTGTGCACCACCACTGCCTGACTCTTAATAAAGCTCATTCTGAAGAGTAACTGGCTCAGCTTCCTTGTCCTTGAACTAACCCAAAGTTAACAGTGTATAACAGTGAAGATTCTAACCCAGGCCTGTGTGTGCATGCATCCCGAGTGTCATCAAACTTCTCACCTCCAGGAACTTGTGTTTATCGGACATGCTGGGGATACGTGCTAAACACACACTGATTGAGCTACACCCAGCTCAGGGTTCAGCATAAGTAGCCATTATGCTCGTGTCACTGGTAAATGATTAACAACCCTTTCCGGTCCCACCCCTGGCACCTTTGTGAATAACTTAAGGATGAAATCTTGAGACTTGGCCATTTGTTGGGCATGAAGGGCATTCACAGCATTGTGTAACTTTTACCATCATTCCACACCGTAACCCATTGAACAGTGTCGTCCCCGTCCCGTGTGTGTGTGTGTGTGTGTGTGTGTGTGTGTGTGTGTGTGTGTGTGTGTGTGTGTGTGTGTGTGTGTGTCCCACCTCAGCCACTGATCAGCTTCCGTCTGTGAGTGGACTCCTGTGGTACTTGCTCTTCTGTGTCTGCACGGCTTTGCCTGCAGGGCCCATCCATGCTGCAGCATGGGCTGGGGCTCCCTTCACCCCAGCAGCACACACTACACTGTGGAGCTCTTGGGGCTGCCTCCACTTGGGGGCTTCTGTGAGTCACACTGTTGGGAACAAGAGTAGACAGATAAGTGTCTGAGGCCCTGCTCTCAGCTCTGGCTACACAACATTGCCACGTGGCAATAGCCTCTTGAGGATTCATCAGACTGTTTCCACCAGTTTTCATCTCAGCAGTATGCAAGAGTTCCAATTTTTTCATATTTTAACCAACTTTATTGTCTTACTATAATAGGAAGAAAAAAATCAGGCCTGGTGGTACAGGCCTGTAATCACAGCTACTTGGGAGTTTGAGGCAGGAAGATTATAAATATGTTCAAGGCTTGCCTGGGCTACAGGGTACTTTCAAGGCCAGCCTGGGCAATTTAATGACAACTTGTCTCAAAGTAAGTGGCTGGCAGTGTAGCTCAGTGAAGCCTTGTGCACAACCCCTGGTGTCCCACCCAAGAAAAAAGCAATTTCAGTGACAGTCAAGTACTCTGTCCAGTGTGGCTCCGAGATGCGGTTCCTGGGTAACTATAACTGATGCTAAGACGCTTCAACCAAAAGGCTTTTTGTGTCATCATGGTCCACCCCACCCTCACCGCTTTCAAGACAGGATCTTAGGTTTTCCAGGCTGTCCTTTAAGTCACATGAATGATCTGGAACTTCTGGCCTCTGTCTTCACTGCCAGAATGTTGGGATCACAGGAGTATGCCCCGAAGCTGAGCTGGTGTGAGCTGGAACCCAGGGTTTTATGAATGCCAGGCAAGCACTCTGCCAGGGGAACTGCATCCCAGCCGCTCCATGCTCCCAGGGTTAAAACTTAGATGCCACAGAGCTGCACCCACTCCTAAGTCCTTTTACTTTTTCGTTTTGTTGAGATTTTGCTTTTTGATTGATTTGAGACAGAGTCTAGTATAGCCCTGGTTAGCCACAAACTCATGATCTTCAGACTTCTGAGTGCTGGGATTACAGATTTTCATAGTACCCAACTGTTTTAATTGCTGTAGCTTTGTGGTTAAGGGTTTTGTGTTTTGTTTTTCTTTTATATAGCCTTGGCTATCTTGGAACTCCCTCTGTAGATCAGGCTGGCCTCACACTCACAGAGATCCGCCTGCCTCCGCCTCCTGATTGCTGGGATTAAAGACATGTGCCACCATTGTTAGCATCCAAGCATGCCTTGACCCTGCTCCTTGAGGAGCTGGCGAAATTCATCACCCCTGTGCGCATGGCAGGTAGTTTCCTGTGTCTGTAAGCAGGCACAAAAGGTACCTTTAAGAGACAAGCTCCGCCTGCTTTCTCTCTCGTGCAGTTTCTCTGAGGAGGCAGGCAGGTCTCTTTCTCTCTTCTCTCCCTTCTCTCCCTTCCCCTACTCCCTTCCTTTCCCTAATAAAACGTCCCACTTAAGTTCTACCTGCATGGCGAATGAACTTGCCTCTCACTGGCCATGGGATCTGCCAAGGTCCCCGTCACGCTGCATATCAACAACCATTACCAGCTTGTAGTTGGTTTTAATAAGGAAGTTAAGTCCTTCACCTTTGTACTTCTTTTTCAAGATTATTTTGGCTATTCATGCTACCTAGAGATTCAGTAAAATGTAGCATGTTAAAAAGAACATGCCCTTAGGATTTTTGGTAAAGGTTATTAAAGCAGTAGAATGACCTGGTGCTGTTAGTATTGACAGTCTTACCAACAGCAAGTCTTCCGTTGCGTCTCGGTTACTGCATGTCCCTTCATTTTTAGACTCTCAAGCAACTAAGATCAACTAAATTTGTGGTCTGCTGAGGCCACTCAGGACTGAGCCTGGCCTCTGCCTAGAACTAAACAGGTATTCCAGGAGCCCACACAGTAGGGCTCAACCTCCCAGTCGGTCCACACACCAGATGAAAGGAGCAGGCTGGTTTCTCCAGAGTTGTGTAGGTGGCCCTAGAGCTACCCCAGTTCTGCTGAAGCATGGTCTGTGTCCCCATTTCTTCACTTGTAGTGGAGCCCATCCACCCGTGCTATGGGGATTGCAGGTGTGCACTGCCACAGGCGGCTGCCTCACTTGCAAATTCATTGGTTCTGCAAAAACCGGAAGTAACTGACTTGAGTTTGGCAGCTGCCTCTCAGTGGCCAGGTGGGCATGGCTACACCCACTCCCCATAGCTGCACAAAGCAAGAGAGGGCTATCAAGGAGCAGTGGAGTCCTGCACTCTTGGGGGACCCCCACAAGTAAGGGGACAAGACTTTTGGGGGGCAGTGCAGATTTTATTACTGTGCCACCTCCCTAGCTGGATTTTAGATGGATGGACAGACGGATGGATGGATAGAATGAATGAACAAAACAGCTCATTGTCTCATCACTCTAATGCTACTTCTAGTAATGATAATGGATAACATAACTAAGACACCCAAGCCATAATAAAGGAGTGACCGTGGGCCTGTGTATATGCCCACGATCCCAGCATTCAGCCTTTCAGGCTGGCTCTGGAACCTGTTCCCATTTTGCTGCACCCACTCTTGACCATGTCTGGTAAGCTGCACGGTGATCACATGGGCCAACGTTCCCCTGGATAATTTCCTGCAGATAGATGTACATGTGTGCTCCCTAACTAACTGTCAGTGTGTGGTGGTGGGAGATACAGCCTTAGCAAACCAGCTTTCTCCTGCTTCCCCCAAAGGGCAGGTACATATGACAACAGGGTCCCCAGCTGGGGAGCCTTCTAAGTGACGTCCACACTCCGAGACTGGGAAGGTGCTGGAACGGCTGGACCTTGGTCAGTTTCTGTCAAAAACTGACCAAAGTCCAAACTGAGTTCCTCAGAATTCCATGCAATTTTCATGTCTGCTCAGTTCACGGAAGGTGGGGGTCAGCTCCATCCTACAGTGGGTCAGGAGGGCAAGAACTTGGATGTGAGATGGCTTGACTAATAGAAGCCTGTGGGTATGTGAGAGTGCAGACCCAGCGTGCATGCAGACCTGCCAACATGAGCACTCCGTCCTGTGGAAACGGACTGTGTGGCTTTGTGGGCTGCAAAGCCTCAGCTTTTGGGTCTCTTTTGCTCTCTCCTGAGACTGTCCTGAAGCAGTCATCACACCTAGGGCTTGGGCCTGCCTCCTCTTAAGACTTCCACAAGCCTTTCCAGCCAAACTCAGGTTCTATGTAATCACTAGTGGCCACTCTGGAAGGAACTGTAAAAGACCACAGAATGTTTGTGGAAGTTTCCCTAGTTCCTCTTCCTGTGTCTTTCTGTTTAGGGTCTCTGGTATGAATCACGAGCTTGTGCTATGAACTTGGTGAACTCTGCTCGGTGCCAACCGTGGAAATCTGCCGAACTTTGTTGATTAGATCCTGGCTCCTCTCCCCAGCCCTTGCTTGCCAGAAGGTGTGTGTGTGTGAGCTTGTACTCGCACTCGCCTTGTACTGGGGACAGAACTGGGCCTTACATGTACTAGATAAGCTCTGTACCGTTGAGCTCGCCCAGCCCTTTTAGGATCTGTAGCCTGGAGCGGTTCCCTACTTCAGTCAATCCCAGTGCCTCACTTGGGTCCTTTGTGGGTCTTCAGTCAAGAATCAGTCCATACTAGGCTGAACAGCAAGAGGAGAGCACATGTATTGTATTAATTTTGCACAGCCCTGGAGATTTCACAGGAGGTGAACTAGAGAAATGACCAAAACATTGGACATAGTGGTACACACCTATAATCCCAGCCCTCAGGAAGATTGCTGAGTTCAAAACCAGCCTGGGCCATATGGCTTGGCTTAAGAGAGTAGGCGCTGATCATGGAGGTTAGTGGTAGAGTGCTTACCCCACACACACAAGGCTCCACCCACAATCAAAAGGAAATAAGGAAAAGGGGCCATAGCTTCCCTGCTTTCTGAAGCAAAGAATGGTAATTTTGTAGGTAAAATAGAACACAGATATCTGGGGTAGGCTAGTGAATTCTAGGGATGTCACTTGGTGACTATGGGGACCAGCTGGAAAATGAGGGTCACCCCAGTAAGATCATTTATTCAGGTCCCCAGCCCTGTTCAGTCTCTGCTTGATGAGGGCTGTTTTTCTGTCCTGGTACCAGATCACCTCCTCCCAAGAAACTGTCACATTCTATTGCATGTGGCCCATCCTACTCCCAGTTCCTCTTTTAGCTTGAAACAGTCACATTACCAGTTTGGTGTGAGGTGGCACCTCCTTCATCCAGAACACCAGGGTTGGGAACCGTGCCTCACTGGCCTCCACACAACTCCAGGAGGCATACATGTTCCTGCTCTGACTAGCAGCAGTCTGCAGTGAGCAGGGTGCAAGTCTTCCCCTGGCTCTGACCCAGTAAGTCATGTGGGCGTATGCTCTGAACCTTGGCCCTCCATTAGCACAAGGAACCAATGCTGCACCGAGCTAAGCTCCCGGTGGGTGAGGCAGGAATGGCACAGGCCACATAAACCTGTCTCTCTCTCCCGTTCCTGCCCTGCAGATGCTGTTGGCTGCCGTCTCATTGGGTCTCCTGTTGTTGGCCCTCCTCCTGCTCCTGCGACGCCTGGGCTGGGGCTTGATAGCCATCTTCTGGTTTGAGTTTGTGCAGCAGCCAGTCCGCAACCTGATCATGGGTGACACAAAGGAGCAGCGCATCCTGCGCCACGTGCAGCAGCACGCCAAACCTGGAGACCCTCAGAGTGTACTGGAGGCCATTGACACCTACTCCTCCCAGAAGGAGTGGGGCATGCATGTGGGCGACGCAAAAGGTATGTCTGTTAAAGAGGGAGGGAATTGTGGTCATTCTCTTCCCTGGCCCCTTAGGGACCATAGCATTTGCACTTGGAGGAACCAAGGAGGTGGGCAAGTGGGGCCCCTGTGTGTGCAAAGGCTGGAGGACTCTCTAAGGGTGTGTACTGTGGGGTCCTCTGGACTATCAGGAGGCCAAGACCTTTCTCAGCAGCACACCAGGAACACTAGGAGAGTGGGAATGTTACTAGTCTGGAGAGGGGTGAGGCCTATAACTGGGGATGGAGTTCTCCTCCTGCCTATATTTATATCCTCCTCACCTCCTCTAGGTCAAATCATGGATTCAGTGATTCGTGAGTATCGTCCCTCGCTGGTGCTGGAGCTAGGAGCTTACTGTGGCTACTCAGCCGTGCGGATAGCCCGCCTGCTGCCCCCTGGAGGCAGGCTTCTCACCATGGAGATGAACCCTGACTATGCTGCCATCACCCAGCAAATGCTGAACTTTGCAGGCCTGCAGGACAAAGTATGGCCCTATAACCAGTGTGGCAGCTGGGGCTGGGAGGGCTGAGCAGGCAGGGGAGGGGGAGGAGTGAAGAGTTCAGTCACTAAGCACCTGCCATGTGAAAGGCAGGAACCTCAGCAGGTTAGGGATAGTCTTACTGACCTAGCCTACAGAGCTAGCAACTCCCAGGGCTGCCCCAGGAGAGACTACACAGGGCAGACTCCTCAGAGCCCCAAGAAATTGATGTATGTATATGTGGGGGCCCGGGCAGGGTCCTGCATATCCCTGTGGGCACAGCACTGACAGAACACTGTTCCAGGTCACCATCCTCCTTGGGGCATCCCAGGACCTCATCCCGCAGCTGAAGACGAAGCATGATGTGGGCACATTAGACATGGTCTTTCTTGACCACTGGAAAGACCGCTACCTGCCAGACACACGTCTCCTGGAGGTGAGCTGAGCTTCCCCTGCTTGGCAGGATGGCTTCTATGCTGTCATTGCTAGGGTAACTGGGCCTTGGCCTCTCTGACCAGTCCTGCTGAGGGTGGGCCAAGGACATAGATGGGCCCAGGGACAGTCTGGGAATTCAGTGGGTACAAAGGCCCTGTGGCAGGTGGAGATGGAAGGGAATGGGTTCTGGGTAGGAGTACCAGGCCAGGGACACTCCCTGTTCTATAGCAGGAGTCTGCTAGGGAGTGAGATGAGCACCAGAGACCAGGACACCTGGGCCTGAAGAACACAGGGCTGAGTGTACCCGAGGGAGCAGAACTGGCCACGTGTGTGTGACTGGGGCTCAACTGGAGCTGGCCACAGGGATGGCTAGCATGTTCTGGGTCTTCCTGAAGCTTCTTCTCTACACTGCCACTCTCCCTACCCCCTTCCAGCCCTCAGCACTGCTGCTCAGCCAACTTTACTTAGCAAAGACCCCCCCAGTGATGACTGGGGGAGCCATCCCTACTCCCGGGTGACTAGGGCTTGAGGATGCATTACCCTGTCCTACTCTGTTGGCCAGAAAAGGGACAGGGAGGCTCCTTGGCCTTCACTGGATTTCCCCTCAGCCTTCTATAGCCAACATGGAGCTGTCCATGTGGTGTTGTCCAGTTGTCTCAAAAGTTATATACCCTATCATGTACACTAGGGTCTAGAATGTGAGGGGTCAACCAAACAAGCCCATGGACCGGACAAAGCCATTGCGACTTGGGTGTGGTTCAGATAGTTCTGGGGAATATAAAGGCACAGAGAAATCAGGCATGAGCTTTGGGCAAGAGATGGGGAGGATTTTTGTTGACCTTGTGGAGGCATGGATACAGTGAATAGGGAGGCTATTTTGGAGGTCCTTCAAACTGCTTTGGAAGTGCTGAGCACTATGGTGGGAGACAGAGATGTACCAGGGCCAGGAAATTGTACCAGAGAATCTGTTTTTAACAAGAGGGCAGGCAGTCGGGATAGAAAGGAGACCAGCAAGCCAGGCCAACCACGGGAAGCTGGCAGACACTATGACCATGAGGTTGCAGACAGCAGGCGGCTGACAGGAAAGCCAGACCGCAGTGCAGGGAGTGGGTCTCTGCAGCTTTCTGTGTGTGATAATTCAGGGGCCTGCTCTTAGAACAGCAGCAAATATTACTGCTCGGTAACTAAGAAGTTAATGGTTCTTAGCACTGCTGCGCAAGCCTGGCAGAGAGAGGTAAGCACTGGGAACGGCTGCACTTTTTCTTTCTTCTTCAATGTATGGTTGCAGAGAGCTGAACTCAAAGGACAAGCCTTTAAGAATGGGGATCATAAAGTGACACTACCTCACCACCGGGCTCAGGGGTGCACACATACAATCTCAGTACCTGAGGCCAGCCTAGGTTAGAGTCTCACAACCTTCTTACCGACAGTATTCTGCACTCCACTGTCTCCCTGGGTCACCTGAGATGTCTTTCAGGAGGCTCATGGTACCCGAATACAGACAGGACAGGGCATGTTTCCTGAAGGGCAGTGGGTCCCTAGCACCTCCATAAGTGCCTGTCTTCCTTCCGGTCATGATGAAATCAGGAAGTTTTATGTCTCAATGCCATTAGTCTTACTGACAGTCAACATGTGACTCTTGATGTTTCCAAGTCTCTGGCTGAGCCCGAGACTCATCTTGTTCCTTCCTGAGCTGCAGGGCCCCTTTCTGGACTGGCTGACACCTTTCCCCAGAGCAGTTCTTCACTGAGGTCTTTCCATTCAGTGCTGACATGACATTCTGTGTCTACTTTCTAAGCAAGAATGGGTTGTGATTCACAGTGAAACTCATTCACGTTGTAGTGCACGAGAATATCCCCTGAACTTACTGACAGGCCTGAGGGTCCCTTGGCTCTCTTACAGCCCAGAGGCTGGACATTACCAACCCCCACAACCACTGGGACCAGCTGGAGCCCTGGACAACCATTAGGGGTACAGCTGTATCCTGCAAGGGCACAGACTCCCCTTATATTAGGGTGGTGGGGTGTTTTTATTTTGGGTGCATGGTACTGTGAACGGAACCTTGGGTCACGCCTGCTGGGCAGTGCTCTTGCCACTGAGCTACACTTCAGCCCTGAATATTTACTGGATTTTACTTTCCACTTTTGGGTTGCTTTGTGTGTATGTATGTTTGAAGACAAATGTCTTACATAGCCCAGGCTAGCCTAGAACTTTCAATCCTCCTGCCTCAGCCTCCTGAATGCTGAGATTACAGATGTGGACCACATCAGACAGGATTGCTTTAATTTTTTGTTTCATGATTATGTTAAAAACAAACCCCTAAGCTCCCTGGGAAACCTTCAAATAAGCCATCCAAGTGTGCAGTTTCCTGATGTCCTCTCCCAGCCCCAAACACTAGGCATACTTCCTTGTCAGGTACTTCCAGTTACATACACGCTGTCAGCAGACATACTTGCCAGAGTGGACAGACAAGCACCCCACATGTGAGGTTTCTCAGAACCACAGCTCCCCTCCTTCTACTTAGAGCCCAGGTGGGAGGTCCAGATCAGATCCTCAAGGTCGGGGTTGCTGGTGAAGACCCTGTACGTGTGGCAGCGTTTGAGGGAAACTGGCCTTCGGGTGCCGCCATCTCTCGTCTCAGTCAACCTGTGCTGCCCATATGCCCCTCTAGGGCTGGGGATGGATACAGGGGAGAATGGGTAGTAGCTAGAAGTCACTCTGTGGGGGGGACAGCTGTCCCTGGATTGAAATAGGTTTGCCAAGCATTCATGACCCTCCCTGTCTGTCCCCTGCAGGAACAAGGCCTGTTGCGCAAGGGGACGGTGCTGCTAGCTGACAATGTCATCGTTCCGGGAGCCCCTGACTTCCTGGAATATGTGAGGGGGAGCAGTAGCTTTGAGTGCACACACTACAGCTCACACCTGGAGTACATGAAAGTGGTGGATGGCCTGGAGAAGGCGATCTACAAGGGTCCAAGCAGCCCCATGAAGTCTTGACCACACAGCCTGCCCTGAGTTCCCCTTCCAGCTTCCTTCTGCAAGATGACACACACTCATTCTGACCCCTCTATGCTTCTGGAGCCTGTCCTCAAGTGCCTTGGTTTCTGATTGTCATACACTGGCACACTCTAACATTCATGGGCTCACAGTCCAAAACCATTACAATAACCCTGAAAAGCACCTGTGGATAAAAGGTTGAGTTAAAGCCAGAGGTGCAGTGGCTCACAGTGCCTGCCTAGCATGAGAGAGGTCTCGGGTTTACTCTTAAACACCAGAAAACAAAAGGGATAAAAAAAAAAAAGTCAAAGCAGGTATCACCCTGCTGGTGTCACCTAGAAGATTCTCATAGAGTTTCAGTGCCAGATCCCTAGGCACTGTCATCATCAGTCAGGCCCAGTGAGAAGTCAGGCAGTTGGAAATATCCAGATGCTGTTTGGCTGTTTCCAAATGGCAGCAATGCCTATGAGAGTACTGTCACCAGCAGCTCATATCACACTTGATCTTAAGAATGAGTCATAAACTTTCTAGGTGTAGTGGTGCACGTCTTTAATCCCAGCACCCAGGAGGCAGAGGCAGGCAGATCTGAGTTCAAAGACAGCCTGGTCTACACAGCGAGTTCCAGGACAGTCAAGGCTACAGAGAAGAGACTCTTATCTTAAAACAAAACAAAAAACCTGAGTTACAGCCTGTTTTCTAGTTATGCTGTGATCTTTTATCATAAAAGAAATTAAAGATCGAAGTATTTGGAAACAAAGATCCATTGACAGTTATTCTTCTTAGCTTCCACACTGCTCTCTTACCTGATGCACAGACAGCCTTTGTACCCATCTTTAACTAGGTAGGCAATGGGGACATGTGTGTGGCACTCAGGAGACAGTCTCTCCAGTCCTACTTCCTGGCTTACAGAAGTGGAAATGGGTTCAGACCACAGGGCTTGCCTGTCAGGCACCCCACTGCCCAGGACGCATCAACCCACAGCTAGAGTTGCCCTAGCCCCCAGCTCCTCCTTAAGCCTCAGAAGGGAGGGGCCTGCTTCCAAGACTAGACACAAAGATCAATCCCACCTCAGCTGATCCCACCTGTGCCCAGATTAGTCAGCCAGCACGCCCCTCCTGGGCTGAGGGTGCCAACAGGAATCAAGGTAGAAGCAAGCAGAGCCTTAATGCCAGGATCAGAGCCTCCCCCACCCCACCCCCACTGCCAATGGACTTTGGCAAACTGTCATCACCAGGTGGCAGCAGAGGCTCAGTTAACCCAGTAGGCTGTGCATTCTTGCTCGCGCCTGCTGCTCTGCTGAGCTGAGTCAGAAGACAGGCAGTTCCTTTGCTGCTTTTTAATCTTTACATTTTCTTACAAAAAGTTCAATGTTTGCTGATACAGTCTTATTTTGGTTTCATTTTTAATGCTTTTTGTCAGTTTTCTTCATTTTTAAGTCACAAACAGCAGGCACTGAAGAGCAGTCCCCCGCTGCTGCTGGCAGTCAGGCCCCGGGGCTACCTGAGGTTCTAGGCAGATGCAGCCACAACAGCAGGGTGGCCCAGGCCACAGGCAGCTTAGGAGTACATTGCAGAGGGAAGGTGTCCCAGGAATCCAAGGACAGGGGTTGGGGGCAAGCACAGCTTGTCCCCCAAGCTGTCTGCTTCCTAAACGTCCTTGCCTGGACACTCTTGGAGCAGCCTTCACTGTGGTCAGCCTGCATGCAGGGTAGTACTGCAGCCACCCTTGGGAGCCCAAGTTCTTTTCCAAGCGCCCCCACCCCATTGCCTGCTCTAGGATGTCCACTCCAGGCTCTACTTGTTCCTCTGCAGCACTGTGAATGGGGACACCCTCACCCCTTCTCTCCCACTACACAGCACCATGTCAGTAAACAGCTAACTCAGGCCTGGAGAGTTAGGTCAGGAGAGTGGAGGAGAGGGGAGGGTAAGACAGAAGGGATATCCATAAAGTCAGGCCCTAGTGGACAAGAGGCTTAGCCAAACCCCCACATGAGGGTGGGGCTCCCGGCTCCAGGACTCGGTCTGCTCAAGACAGCCCTTCCAGCTATTGCCATGTGATCCCTAAGAACAAACAGCTGGGCCAGGGCCCTGCAAAAGAAGACAAAGACAGGTGCTTTAGCCAGGAGCCCAGACAGGCAACAGAGCCAGCAAAATGTAGCAGGGTGGCTTGGGAGCCTCCACACAGGGCAGCTGCCTTCAGAGGCCACACAGAAACAGTGGCTGTGGATTGAAGGGTGGGCTATGCCAAGAGCCTTGAAAGCAGGGCCAGTCCTGTCTTGCTGTTCCTCACAGGGCTCAGTGATGGGAGTATTTGAGGAAATAGGAGGGCCTGTCTCCTCATAACCCTGATCTCTGGGGGTTGGAACAGGGCTATGAGTGCTGGGAGGGTCTTCCTGGGTCATGCCAGGGATCACACAGGAGCTCAAACATGCAGCAGCAGAGACAGACAAGAAGCCCCAGTCCACAGATGGGAAAACCAATCAAATGAAGGAACATACCAGGCATGCAAGCTAGACCCAGGAGTCAACAGGCTGAGGCTTAGCATCCCCAACAGCATCCACCAGCCTGACGGAGGGCCTGCTGGGCCCAGGTGGAGGGGCCTTCCTGCCAGGGTCGGACTGCAGTGCATGGTGAGTAGACAGACAGGAGTTAGAAGCAGAAAAAAAAAAAGACAGGTTAACTGCAACTAAGGGCAGGCTAGGCTGGTCGATGTGGGCAAGGAAGGGGTGGGATGGAGGTGGGCTTGCCATGGCAGTAAACGGGGGTCAAGTTCTGGTGCTCACACTAGTTATGGAGTGGCACACGAATATACCTAGAGGCTGTTACATGAAGCCAGGATACTGGCACCAAGCAGGTGGCAGACACTTCCCTTTCTGGGGGGCTACAATAGATACCCTGCCTCCCCCCACACACAAGAAAAGAGTACAGATCTACTCGCTCTGGTCCTGTGCAGCCTGTGTCCTGGCAGAGCTGCCCTGTCTGCTCCTTTGCAGCAGGTGTAGGCAGTGACCCCCTCAGCACCAGTGTCACTGAGGTATGGGCTACTTCCCGGGCCCTGCAAGTGAGTGCCACTCTAGCCACGCACCAGAGTCCTGATCAAACTTAGCACTATATGGCTATTCTCTTGACAAGCCCAAAACAGAAAGCCTCAGTGGGTGCCTGGTCACTGTCACTCACTTTCAACAGTTCCTTCTCAGAGGTGTCTCCTGTGGAGTCACTGCCCAGTGTCCTCCGCTCCCTCCGGTCAACTGTGGCATAGCCATCTGTAGGATGGAACAGAGCAGCAAGCGAGGGGAGCTCTGAGGAAGGCACCGGGGATAGGTGATCTTCCTTCAGCCCAGATACAGAAAGCCCTAGGACAGGGACTTCTGGTCTCTGTGCCAGCTCCAACCAGCCCTAAGGTCTCCACACCACCTAGCTCTTCTCCTGTTGACATTTTACCATTTTATCTTCCCAGCACAAAACCAGCTGGCACTCCCAGGTTGCCAGCCCTCCATGGTCCTCTTCCCTGTGCTCCCGCACTCACCTGGACCAAGTGTATCCATGGGGATCACATCTCGGGTGGCTGACTTCTCCCCATCTGCAAGGCATGAGTAGTGTCCATGTGTGAGCAGTGGGCAGGCACGGGATGGCAGGGCAGACACGCTCACCACAGAACAGTCCTCAGTGACCCTGTAATGCTTAGCACGCCTGCCCAGCCTCTGCCTGCTGGCACCCACCCTGACTCCCTGGGAAGCCACAGAAGTCGAATTCCCAGGAGGCTGAAGGCATGAACAACCTCAAGCACTGAGCCATCTTACCAGGAAAGTCCTGTCTCCCTAGCCCCACCTACCTTGTGCATTAGCAGATGGGAGCTACCCTTGAGCCTCAGGGGTAAGTTTCATGTCCCTCTCCCCAGCCTGTGCTCACCAAGGTTCTTGTCTACCAGTGGCAGTGTGCTGTCATCAAAACCCCCAGGACTTGGCATTCCCTTGGGTCCTTTGGCAGTGCTAGCAGACTAAGGAGACACAAAACACAAGGAAGAGGTAAGGCCCCAGACTCTCCTGCTTGGGGACAGACCTGGCAAAGAGAGAAGGTGGGACAGCTGTACCTGGAAGCGTGCTTTGGTCCAGCCATCTCTCTGAAGGGCTCCACGAAGCTCCTTGTAACTCCACACTGTCTGTAGCACGTGCGATGCTGCCTTGGCCTCCCGCACTGACTGGCTGCAGCACCAGCAGCCAAGGTTGGGGTCAGTGGTCCACCTCTTCCAGTTTCCCTCCACCCCTCAAAACCCACCCTGCCCTCACCCACCTGGAGGCCACGAGTGCCACCAGTGCAGGCACGCCGCGGGCCTGCAGGAGGGAGCGAGCATTATCCAGGCTGTTGGACACAATCTCATGGATGGTGTTGAGCACGGCTACCACTGTATCCTCCTCCAGGTGGGCACTAGGGTGAGCAGGTGCCTGTGCATTGCGAACATTCCGCACCAGCTCTGTCATGGCATAGCTCCCTAAGAGGCGGGGTCAGATTTTAGGACACATCCTGCCCTTCCCCTGGGGGAAGGGGCAGTGTTCAGACAAAGGGTATTTCCAGGCCTGCCATAACCTCCAAAGAAGACGGCTGAGCTGCAAGGACTGAGGGAAAAACACCCAAACTCCCACAGCTCAGCAGAGGAGCAGCCCAACCACATGGGTGGAGTCTGGTTCCCTCAACTCCACCCTCCACTGACCTGTTCCCAACACCTGCCCCACTTCACAAGCCCTGGGTTACACCATCAGCATCCTCACCAATGAGGTCTTTGTTACGCTGGTCTAGTGAAAGGTTGCGCAGTGCAATGGCGACAGCACGCACCACCTTGTCGGTCTCCGACTGGAGCAGCTCCACCAGCACGGGCAGTCCACGCTCCTTGCGCACGGTGGCGCGGATGTACGTGGCCCACTATGAGGGTGGCACAGGAACAGGAGGTGAATTCTCAGAGGGCAGCCATCTTACACAGCACCTACCCCAACGGCACCACACCAACCACTGGCCAGGGCACAGTGCTCAGAAGCACCTGACCCTGAGGATGGGCTTATCCGCTCTTCTCCCACTGGCCCAGATGGAGGCAAAGGTACAAGACAGAACCAGTGGAGTGTTTGGAATTCCTCTGTCCAGGTCTTGCCCTCCCTGCCGACCTGACTCCTCACCGTCCAGTTACCAGCACTGAGGTTCTGCAGGGCACCAGCTGCGGCTTCCAGGGTGTTGAAGTTCCGGCTCTCCGTAAGGAGTGAGAGGTAGAGACGTACCACCTCGGGCTGGTACAACAGCTCAAAGCCTAGACACGGGGCAATGGTAGTCCAGAGTGATGGTGAAAACCCCTTCTCCTCCAGCCCCTTCTTATTCATCATTCTGAAGACACGGTGAGCTGCCTGGGACAAATACTGAGCAGTCTAGTCATGTTTAGTTCAATTAATGTCCCCATTCAGAGATGGGCAAACTGACAGTCAGCCAGGAGGCAGAGCAGGTAGACGAGGCCATTCCTTCCTTAACCCTGCTTGCAAAGAACTGGCCCTGGGCTCACCTGGTAGCTTCCACATCTAGGAGGTATGATAGAGATGGACACTGAGCTACTTCTTTAGCAACAGAACTCATCTCCCCTGGATGTGACTAGTACCCCTAAACACCAGGCTCACCTACCCCATCTGATAATAGGGACCGTCTTCACTGGTAATTAAGACTGTAGCTGAGGCCCCTCCTCTCACAACAGGCCCTGCATCCCAGGCAACCATTCCAGGCTCCC